TCTGGCGACCATCGATTTGTTCTCTGTATCTAGGGCTGGAAAATTCTTAAAAGTGGGGGTTTGCTCTCTGGCCTGCCTTCTTCCCGCTCAGAACAGACCAGCTCCCTGCGCACAGATGGGCGAGGACATGCTGGTAGAACGAAAGGCGGCGTGGTGATGGGGGGGGGTGCCAGTTGTAGCTGAGGCCAACCTGCAGGGACCGCCTTTTACTTCAGCAAGATTGTATGGAGACGGAAACTTGCGAGGGAGACGGTTACGGGGCGGGAGGGGTGCGATTTGGCAGAGAGAAGAAAATGCGTCCCGAGGATTTGGGACGGTCTCTGCCTGTAATAAGACAGAGCGCAAGACAAATATGGTAGCAGATCTCGGAGCGATTCGCCCGGCTGGCGTGGAAGAGGCAGACAGAGGGCGGGCGGGTGGAAAGGGCCGTTTATGTACATTTCCTGCGAATTCTTCCACGGGGATGGCCGGCAGCTGGTTGCCATCTTCTGCACAAGAGCCTTCCGTAGACTTGAAGACAGTTTTAAACACCGTTCACTCTCCACTCCAAGCTGAACAGTCTATGCCCCCACCATTTCCTCACAGCTTTATTTCTATTTTTGAACACTTTCAACAAATTGCTTTTGCTATGAGAAACACACAACATAGTACTTCCCCAGCAGGATTTCTAAACTTTGCTGCTGATGACATTTCGGGTCACGGAAGCATTTGGTTCGACGGCTGTTCTGTGCATTGCGGGGTATTAGCAGCATCCCTGGCCCCCCGGCCACCGATGCCAGGAGAACCCCCTGAGCCATGAAGATCAGAAAGGTCTCCAGACAGTGCCCGGTTCCCATAAGACCAGGGTCACCAGCGCAGGGGACCACTGTCCTATAGATAAGCACCAGGACACCACCATCAAAGGTTTTGTCAAAAATGATGATTGGAAACTGAGGCAACAGCATCTCTGTCACTCTTGAGGGCTCCAAAGTCTGGGCCCCCCCAGAGCTCCTGAGTCAGTATCTACACCCACCAGCATCCCCAGGGGTCTGAGTCCTGTTAGGGCCGCAAGGCGCACGTCTCAGTACAGTCNCTCTGTCACCCCGGAGCTCTTGAGGGCTCCAAAGTCTGGGCCCCCCCAGAGCTCCTGAGTCAGTATCTACACCCACCAGCATCCCCAGGGGTCTGAGTCCTGTTAGGGCCGCAAGGCGCACGTCTCAGTACAGTCGCCTCCTCCCCATGCTGATGTGGGGAACAGGATTTCCCTGCACTAAAAGTCCTCAGCACCCTTTAGACACCAAGGGAAGGGACTGTCCTTAATCAAGGGCCACGGGGCGCCTCTGGAGGGATTTTCCAGGCTCATTCTCGCTGGAACACGTTCTCCCCAAGGCCCCTCACGGAGGACCACGAGCTTTCGGTTTCCTGGTGGGGCCCTCTGTCTAGTCCCCGCGCCCTATGGAATGTCCGGTGTGACCGCCCCTTTGTCACTTCCTGTCCTTGGAATTCTCGGGCACCGTGCCCACGTTTGGGAGGCGGCGAGGGGCCTGGAGCACAGGAGGTGACATAAAACATAGTTTACACTGTGCTCTCGGGACGTAAAGGACGCATAAACAGTAAGAGCGGCCTCTCAGGGCCTCGGGTTCAATGTTCGTTTTGATTTACTAGTTGTCTTGGAACTTGATGTACCAGAAGCAAAGGAAAATCACACTTATCCTCGATCGAGTCAAACAAAAAACAAACAAACGGAACCGAGGTGGCTTCGGGGGCCACGGAAGGCGAAAATGACAGGAAGTTAAACACAGACAATAGTCATATGTCAGAACCAAATTCTGGTTTCACGTGTACCGCCAAAAAAGAGATCGTTTTCCTTAATAACGACAAGACTGCGGAATTATTATGTGCTACTTTTCACATAGTCCTCATATAATTTTCCAAGAATTTAATACCGTGACTATCACCCCCAAGCAGGGGAGCAGGAGGCTCAGGATGGCAGGGAAATCCGCCCCCACTTCCCAGGGCTCCCAGGTCATTCCTATTGATTCAGCTCTTATAACGCGGCCCCACCCGGGGAAGGGCTAGTGGAAGGCGACGCGAGGAAGGATTGAGGAGAGAGGCTGCTGCTGGGCCGCGTAATCCCGTCTCCTGGGGAGCAGACTCGGGGGGAGCCTCGGCTGCAGGCGCCCTGGCTGGAGGATGCTGGACTCAGGGGACATGGACTGAAGGGAGAGGTGCTGGCTCCAGAGCTCTAGATAGAGCCGCACGAGGGACCAGCTCAAACGTGTCCTCAGGCGGAAAGAAACGAAAAAGCTTGCTCCCCTTCAAACATGGGCACAGACGTCTGCTATCGATCTTAGGGCGAGAAACAGAGGAGTAAGGCGAGGCGGGTGGTATTGGAGGGTATCTCTTGGGAAAGAGGTCACTCGGTGCCATTTCTTTACCCCAGGATGGAGCTGGATGTGCATGTCATCTAAGTGACAGAGGGAGAGACAGAGAGAGAAATAGCTCAGAGTTGGGGGGTTTCCTGCTTGCAAACAGTTCATATCAGTAACGGCTCTGAGCTAGTCAATAAACTGGAGGTTGGGCAGGATAGCGGTCATTACTCTCTGTGCTAGCAAACTGGACCTGAGATGGGTTCAGTGGTTTGTCCAGCACCAGGCTGTGGTAGAGGCACAGACAGGACGTCAGCATTGGTCATCTGTTGCCACATCATAGACTCCCTGTGACTACAGCGCTATTGAGTCAGGTAGATTAATACAAATAAAATAACCCAGGTCAACAGGCCCCTCAGCGAGCCCAGGAGAGCTCTGGTCATCGTGTGGCTTTGCAGTATGAGGCTGGGACCAGCAGGAAGAGCCGAATGAGGGGCCAAGTCTGGGCATCTCCCGGGGGTGCTGACCCGCTGGTGCCAGGAAGGCCTCCCTCCTCCACATCCTCTGAGTCCCAAGAAAGGTCACTGCCGCCTGTTTGATGGTTTGTTTCTCAGTGACGAAAGTCCGTCTTTCCCAGGGCCGCCCAGACATTCTGACCTAGTAATAGCCAGACTGCAGTACTGAGTGGCCAGTGGAATCTTGAATATTTTAAATCCCAAGCCCAAGGCGAGAGGGTGTCCAATAAATGATGACGAGGGATGCATATTAAATGTGACTGCTTTCCTTCAACAACTTCCACACGCTTATCCCACCCAGAAATAACGGGCTAAATCATGAAATTAACGTTATATTTATTATTTTTAATAGAGTGAAATGATACCATAGTAAGATTAGAAATAATAATAGTTGTGTTATTGTTGTTTATTAATGGTTTTTAGAGCCAATTCCTTGGTAGTGTAGAAAGATGGTGGTCTTTAGAGATATATGGATCTGGGCTTAAACCTATTTATTCAGTTATTCATACTTATCCCACTAGTCCACAAATGTTAATCAAGTCTTCACCCTGAGTTGAATATATGCTGACCCTAGTGCTGAAAAGTTGTAAAAAGGCAGCACTCCCGTTTTAGGAGCTCTCACAGCCTTGCTGGGAAGAATTCAGCAAGTGAGTTCACCCCCACAAGCCTCAGTTTATCCTTCCACTGTGAGTTTACAATGCCTCCGGGAACTGGTTGCAGTGAGAAGTACAAATTATGCATTGCCCCTCTAGAGAAAGCTCCATAAATGAGTAAACAGGTTTCATGGGCAAAATCCAGGTCTTCACCACATGTGGCTGAATTTTATTGTGGAAGAGCATTTCCCCCCATTCTGAGGACCACTCATGTGATACTGGAGGTGGGGGGGCAGGACGTGGGCTCCCTGATTCATTTCCACAGCAAGCTTCCTGTGTCTGCAGCCTGCAGCAATGACATGTGGCAAAGGCCTGAGGTGAGGGCGCCAGGCCTCGGGGTGGAGGAGCCGGCCCAGGAGGGAGCAGGTGGTGCCTGAGCCTGCAGCCGGGTGCCCTGGAGGCTCACCTCAGGGCCTGGAGAGGGGTGCATACTTCTGATACCATCTCAGGCCTCAGGTCATAGTGAGTCCAGGCTTCTCTCACTGCAGGGAGAGTCTGCTCACCTCCAGCCCAATTGAGAGTTATAAGCTCTAGTCCGAGGACAGGATGAGCCAGCCTGCAGTGACCCTCCTGGCACATCTAGGCCACACTAACAGCCACTGTCTTCAGCACCTGAGACTCAGGGAGCACACCTGGGCAGGGCAACCTCCGTGGTGTGGAGCTGCAGGGGCCTCGTCTCCCCAAACCTGGCACTGGTACCTCCTGGGCACCTGAGGGAAGAGTCCATCCACTGCTGCTCGAATGGACATAAACTCCTAATGGCACAGGTGCACTACAGTTACCTTGTGATACATTAGGTATTTTGAATAACTCCAGTTTACTATTTGTTTTCTTTTAAAATTTAGATGAAATATATTTAACTTTGAGGCACTCCAGGGGGTTGGAAGGAAACCATTTTAATGATAAAACTGGTGAAAGTTGGAAGCCTTTTCCTTCATTCTGTAATAAACAATGAAACAGCTTTGTAATATCAGTGCTGTGAGTCTGAAATCTTCGTTAGTTTACTGATTCTTAACAGGCTGAGTGAGTCAGATCTCAATTTTGGTGCAAACGGTTGCCTTCAAAGATAAAATCTGATCAAAAGTGTAACCGAGCTTGGCTGGTGTGGCTCAGTGGTTGAGCATTGACCCAGGAACCAAGAGGTCAGGGTTCGATTCCCGATTGGGCTTGATCCCCAGTAGGGGGCGTGCAGGAGGCAGCCGATTGATGATGTTTCTCTCATTGATGTTTCCATTTCTCTCTCCCTTGCCCTTCCTCTCTCTCCAAAAATCAATAAAAACACATTTTAAAAAAGTGTAACCGA